AAAAAAAAAGAGGCGTCAGGAGTTAGATGTGGATGTACTGCAGAGGGTGTGGGATTACAGTTCTCCTTTGTGGTGTTTTCCATACTTCTAATTGCAGCTTCTTTCTCTGCTCAGGATGTGAACCGTGAACTCATGAGTCAGCAAGAAGCTTCTGCCGAGAAACAGCAGCAACCTCCTCCAGAAATGTTTGACTTCAAGATTAAATTTGCAGAGACAAAAGCTCATGCTAAGGTAGGGCTAGCAGGAGAGCTGTGTACCGGGTGCGTGCATCTATTCCAGTGTGCAAAACTCCCGAAGTGACGTACCTGGCATAGGTGTGCGGGGTGCAGGGCTTGGAGACGTGCTCTGAGTGTACTGCAGTCGCTGTGTGGTGAGGCTGATGCTCTTGGGTTAGACTTATGGTGCTCTTGCCACTAGTAGAAACAGGCTGAGGTGACTCTCAGGAGTTGGAAGGAACACGGTACCTGATGGGAGGGAGGAAGATACCAGAATGTGACGCACAAAGAAATGATCACTGCTGTGTCTGTGAAGGCGTGCAGGGAAGGCTGAATCAAGCAGAGCAGTTTAATCAGGAGGAAAAACATCTCTCCCTCTGCTTCTATGTGGTTTGTGTTCCAGTGTGAGATTTTCATTGCTTCCGCTGCCCTTTGGTGGAACTGAGCGCTTGCTACTTGATGAGGAAGCTGGGAAGGCAAGTGCGATGTGAAGCAGTGCAGGGCTTTCAGCTATTAGTGCTGGGGGCAGCAGTGTACCATTTTGCTAAGAAAAACATCAGACGTTTTCGGATACTCACTGCTGTGCAAAAAGGGGTGTTTTTTATGAAAGTGTGTTCTCAGAGCTGACAATTGAAGCATTGTTTGTATCACGCTGTGAATGCTGGCAGGAAAGAAAGAACGCTTGTGAGCATGGATACATGGTGTGCTCTGACCTCTCTGGCTAGATCGGAGCTCGGGGTCTGATCCAAACCAGTCCACAGGGCAGCCAGATGATAATGATAAAGAAGCGTTCCCTGCAGCAGCTGTGGCGCATGGTGTTAGCTGTATCCCGGGAGGAAAGCGATTCTGACTCTTAAATGCTGAACAGACTGACAGCACATCTCCTATTCCGCATGGGATGCGCTGACCTGGAGAGAGGACCAAGCAGGGCTCCTTTTGACTGTGCACGTCTCCTGCAGGCTATCGAGATGGAGCTGCGCCAGATGGAGGTGCAGCAGGCTAACCGGCACGTCTCCCTCCTCACTTCGTTCATGCCGGATAGCTTCCTGCGTCACGGAGGGGACCATGACTGCATCCTTGTACTGCTGCTCATCCCCCGGCTCATCTGCAAGGTGGGATGGGTGCCTCGACTCCTGCATGGCTTTGGGAGTTAGGCTTTGGTCACTGACTGGAGAGAGGGACACATGTGAAGAGCTCGTGCTAATTCTTCCCCAGAGGCTTAGAGCTGGCCCATAGGAAGAGCTGGCTCGTGGGGCTTGGAGTGTCATCTTCAAACCCACGGTGCCATTTGGGCTAACCAGGAGCTGTGCTACAACTCTGTGGAAAATGTTGATATTCTTTTCAAAATTCCAAGTTCACCTGGGGTAGAATGTTTACTTGTTTGAAAACTTTCAAAATTATTGGGGCAGCAGGAGTAGGGAAGGAAACAGAAGTCCCTGCCTCCAGATAGTGGCAGATCAGTGGCTGGAGTACTCAGCTGTGGTTGGTCAAGCCCAAGGTGACCAGTTCAGGCAGGGCAGGCAGGTGAGCCTTGGTTTCTTTCAGCACTGTCCAGGGGTGCTTGGCGCTCTGCTGCCAGCTGTCCCTCTTCTACCCCTTCTGGACTCATGACACCTTTCCCAGGAAAACCTTTTATATATACAAATGCGTGTATGCCTCTGTGTGTATGTATATACGTATAAAATATATACATACACACAGAGGCATGCACACACGTATATACGTAAGTCATTTCCTTATAAGCTTTAGTTTCAACAAGATCACTGCTTTTCACTGAGAAGTTCCTGCTCCAGTCACGGAGCTTGAATGATAAAGGGAACACAGGAAGGTGCTGGTCAGGGAAACTATGGGGCTCAGCTGTGGAGAATTGGCTGGAGAGGCCTGGGAGCTGAGCTGAGCAGTGTGAACAGGGGTAGGTGACTTGGCAGCGAGGCAGATGGAAATGAACCTTGAGCCTGAATAAGTGTCAGCGTTGAAGGAAGGGCTAATGAAGCCATGCGAGCAAGCTATGCCTGGGTTTGGCTGGTCTACGACTAAGTGGGGAAGGATCGGAGCAAGCGTGGGAAGACTGTGATTGTTTGCCCTCTTCCACAACAGGCTGAGCTGATCAGCAAACAGGCTCAAGAGAAGTTTGAGCTGAACGAAAACTGCGCAGAGCGCACCGGCCTCAGGGGTGCTCAGGGAGAGCAGCTGAGCTTTGCTGCCGGCCTGGTGTATTCTCTAAGTCTCCTGCAGGCTACGCTGCACAAATATGAACAGTGAGTATCGAACCGTTCTGCTCCATCACCGTGCCACCCTTGGTTTCCACCTGCTTCACCAACTAGAAGTACTGAGCTCTGCAGCCTCAAAGGAGGGCCTGATCTGTGCTGGAGTTGAAGATACTCTGGCAACTAGGCTGGAAAAAAGCTGAGGGATTCCCTATATTGCCTTGTGAGGGTAGTGTTCACTTCTCTTGTAACTCCTTCCTTGTTTTCCTCCCAAGAATTGGGATGTGAAGGGATCTAGCTCTCTAGCATGAGTTGCTCATTCTTCAGCTGTGACCATGTCTTTAGGCCAGAAGTAGCTCTGGCACGTTGATTTTCCATCTGATCCTGCCAGGAGATGCATCACACTCTCCTAAGTTTGATTGTGTCTGGGACTCGTACTGGGCTTCAGACTCAAAGAGCAGACTCTTCCCCTGCAGCCCAGTTTCCTCTTTCGTGAATGCCCAGTGCTTAGTCAGGAAGGTTTTATGGAGTGTCAAGGAGGAATCTAATGCTTGATTAATATGAACTAGTTGCTGGCCAATGCCATGACAATAGCATGGAAACAGTGCTTTCTGTAGAGACTGGAAATTCCTTTGGAGACCAAAAGAGCTGTGCTAGGGAAAATAATCACTGTGAGCCCTGCTAGGCTTTGCTTCCTCAGGAAAATGGCTCAGTCGAACAGGGCACTGAAAGATCCCTTTGCTCCTACAGCAACATGACTGAGGAGCTCATTAAATCGTATTATATGCTGTTGGAGCTAGATGCTAAATCTTCCCCTGCCGCCAACACTGGATTTTGGCTCAGAAATTAATTCATGCTAGCTTAGATACTTGAAGTGTTTTCTGTTCCGAAGCTCCCTTTCCTGTAGCTGCCAGGCAGCCGATTTCATGCCCTCGTTTCCTGCAGATGTTCTGACCTTCAGCGACCTCTCTCTAGCTACTGTGCCCCTCAGAGTCCAGCTGGCTATGGCTGGCACTTCAAGCGGTCTGAGATGGGCACCCAGAAGCAAAGCCCTGCACTGATGCTGTCTGGACCATATGCCAGTCAAGCTAACTGCATCTGCGTTTCCTTACCAGGGCCCTGAACAAATGCAGCGTTGAGGTGTATAAGAAGGTGGGGATGCTGTACCCCGAGATGAGCGTCCATGAACGCTCCCTGGACTTCCTGATTGAGCTGCTGCACAAGGACCAGCTGGATGAGACGGTCAATGTGGAGCCGCTCACCAAAGCTATCAAATACTATCAGGTAGGATCTGCGGAGCCAAGAGGGTCTGGCTCTTGGCCGAGCTCAGGGCGTTTCTGACCGTGCAGGGCATGGGACTGGTGAAATCTCTCCAGCACGTGCAGCAGCTGGAAGTCATGCCCTTGGATACACCGTTCACATGGCATATTAAGAAGCTGTCAATAAGCCCGCTGATAGCAATTCCCTTTGGATATTGTTCACCTTCTGAGCATGCAGAACTTATGCCTGTGGCTCTGTCACTTAGAGGCTGTGTCCTCTGTCCCGGGGAGGAAGAGAGAGGAGGCGAAGGCAGAAAGGATATGATTTTCCTGCCCTAGATTCCCGAACCTCTGTGCTGGAGGTTCGGGCTGTTGACCTGATAGAACTAAGGGCCACCAGTGTTCTCCCAGAGAGCGGGGTGTTCACAGGGCACCTGGTTGGGTTGGGAAACAGTTTTCACTTCCAGTCACAAATTAGGCCAAACTTTCAGCATTCACTTTGTTATGTATTTCCTGGTTTGTTTTGTTTGCTTGGATGCGTGGAAACATTTGGAGGATGCTGATCTCTGCTGTGTTGATCTCTCTCTTTTCATGTAGCACCTATATAGCATCCACCTGACCGACCAGGCTGAAGACTGCACGATGCAGCTGGCCGACCACATTAAGGTGAAGTGTAGCAAAATAATTTGGCTCTTTTTGTTGCGCGTTTTCTGTCTTCTTGTCTTTTGCTCCTCTGAAATTGTTTTGTGAGTTGAAGTACCTCTTCTGCCCTCCCCATTGCAGTCGCGTTTTCCTCTGCTCCCACTGGGTGTCACGGCACGTAAGTCAAATGGGTTCCCAGGTCAGGGAAAGGGGAAAAAGATGTGGGCCATTTTCTCTGCAGACACCCAGGTAAGCAAGAAAGAGAACAGCAAGGAGAGTGCTGAAAACCTTGTGCCTAAGAGGGAGCGTTGTACTTTCTTAAGCCTTTAAGGGGGCAGCATTGTGCCCTGTGCCCCACAGCGTAAAAGAAAAGCCAAGTTAATGCCTCAACCTTTTCTCCTGCTCCTATACAATCTGGAGTCATGGCAGCACGGTGTACAAATGGCAGCTGTCTTACCTGCTCTCTGCTTTGCCTTGAGCTCACGTGCCTGTGTTTGTGCTCTGCAGTTCACCCAGAGTGCCTTGGACTGCATGGGCGTGGAGGTGGGCAGACTGCGATCCTTCCTCCAGGTAGGACGTGCTCTGTTGTGGCAGATTCCCCTAGGTGGTGATCCGTTTGTCCATTTTTCTGAGGTCCTATCTCTGAATCCTAGGCTGGGCAAGAGGCGTCCGACCTTGCCATCCTCCTCAAGGACTTGGAGACCTCGTGCAGTGACATTCGCCAGTTTTGCAAGAAGATCAGGCGCCGCATGCCGGGGACAGACGCTCCTGGTATCCCTGCAGCGCTCGGCTTTGGGCAGCAGGTGAGCTGGCCAGCACTGAGGCTCGCATAGGGCCAGGGTGCTCTTGCCCTTCCCTGCATAGGGCCGTCTTAGCAGTATACTGGGAGCAGTGGACTGTACTGGACTAGTATAAAACACAGACCACTGCTGTCCTCCTCGCTGGCCCTAGGGAGGGAGCACGCTGGTCTGCTGTGCCCTGTTTAAGCCAAGCTGCAGCCTGCTGCTCAGGCAGAGGAAAATGGTGTGAGCTGATACTTGATCTAATGTCTGTGGACTGCATGTTTCTAGTCAGGATGGAGATAGATGGACTTTTTAACCTACTTTTCTCCAGGCTTGAGTTTATTTCGTTCCTTCCTCATGTTTCTCGTCTTCCCATGATGCTTCAGAGGGATGTTAAAATCTCAGTAGTTGTTGGACTAGGGCAAAGGAAGTGCTGTGTCACAGCCAGGAGCTGTGAAGTCTGGGAGGCGAGTGGGGAAGTAGCTCGTTTGCCTCTGTTGGTGTTCCCGGCTGGCTCTGGCCTTTCCGAACTACCCTGTGTCTGCTCGACTCTCAGGTGTCGGACACGTTGCTAGACTGCCGCAAGCACCTGACGTGGGTGGTGGCCGTGCTGCAGGAGGTGGCCGCTGCCGGGGCCCAGATGATTGCCCCTCTGACAGAGAACGAGGGACTGCTGGCGGTGAAGCTGGAGGATCTGGCCTTCAAAGCGAGCGAGCAGGTGGGAAACACTGTTCACGGCCACCCCTCATTGCCTGCTGCAGTGAAATAAAGTTGGTGATAAGCTTATCCTCACAGATCCATCTAACTCAAGGGCTACAGACCTGTCTGGGGGCAGCTCTGGATGGAGTCTAGGACGCTCCTGTGGAGGCTGGGAACGAACTCCTGGGAATATGGCCAAAGAATGTCAAAATGCAGAGAGCTTCATAGTCTCCTGCTCTTCATTGTCCTCCCCGGCAGCCGGCCTTGCTCTGCAGCTGCCTTGTCAAAGGGCTTGCGACCTCTGTGGCGCGTTATTGTGGAGAGGCAGAAAGGGGGCTGTAACAGTGGCTTTGAGCCCAGCTGTGGGGGCACTGTAACTTTCTTCCTGTCCTTTTTGCAGATCTACGGCACCCAGGGCATCAACCCATATGAGTGTCTGCGCCAGTCTTGCAGCATCCTCATTGCAACCATGAACAAGATGGCCACGGCCATGCAGGAGGGAGAATATGATGCTGATAGGCCACAGACCAAGGTAGGCTTTGGCTATGGCAGGAGTTTCAGGCAAAGCCGCAACATTTGAATTGCCCCTTCATCCCCTATAATCCCGAGGATCTCTAAGAGGAGGAAACTTTTGCATGGCCTTGGTGCCTGCTAGGTTTCCCCACAGGCAGATGGCTGACAACAGTGCTGATGAAGGCATAGGAAATAGTGACTCTCAGAAGAATAAATGCTGAGGCGTGACACCCAGAGCTTGGTGGTACCAGACACCAAGTGAGTGCTCACTGGGCCCACTGAGTGCCACTGGCTGGTGGTCAAGAAAGAAGCCCCTCGTGAACTTGGGAAGAGTGGGATTTCTGAGGGGGCTGCCTGAAGGCCTGACTCGGGCTTGTAGGTGTACTCAGCTGCCTGCTCAACCTAGCAGGGCTCCCCCAGCAGGAGACTGTCTCCTGGGTATAATAGGAGCCCAAGGCTTAGGGAGGTGCAGGAGATGCTTGCAGGATACGGGGAAGCAGGGAACGGTCCCCTAGTTGCTGTGTGACCCATTTTGTTGTTCCTAGGATTCTTCTTACAGTACCAAATCTGTGTCTTGTTCCTTTGGTCTCCGTTGCAGCCCACCCCACCTGCTGACCTTAGGGCGGCAGCTCTTCGGGCAGAGATCACTGATGCTGAGGGGCTGGGGCTTAAGCTGGAGGACAGGGAGACGGTCATCAAAGAGCTGAAAAAATCTCTCAAGATCAAGGTAAGCTGTTCTTCAGTTGATCTCAAGCTTCTTGACTGGTCTGTGCCACCGGAGTGGTCGCGTTTTGTGGTCCAGGTGGCTTGCTGCCTGTGGAGCTGACTGTTTCAAGTCCCAGTCAGATCTCCTCCTGGAAATATCGTTCCCGTTACCAGGGAAGTGCTCTCTGCCACGTGGCCACAGCCTGGTGACTCCCTGCTAGGGACTGTCCTGGCCTTTCTCCCATACTGTTCTGGGACAGCGAGTATTGGCGGTGGGTGTATATGTCGGGGTACTGAACATAGGCTCAGTGGGGTAGGGGTTATGATTTCTGGGCAGCTCCCCCGAGGCGCTGCAAGGGGCTGTCCATAGTGCGTGCCATCTCCAGGGGCCTGGAGCAGCCTGCTTTCTTTCCTGCTCCTCCAGGGTGAGGAGCTCAGTGAAGCAAACGTGCGTCTCAGTCTCCTGGAGAAGAAGCTTGACAGCGCATCCAAGGATGCAGATGACCGTGTGGAAAAGATACAGACAAAGCTGGATGAGACCCAGACACTGCTCAAAAAGAAAGAGAAGTGAGTGTGAGATGGGGTCTGCAGAACAGGGGCTGGCTAATAGAGAGTCCCTGATGAAGACTAGACTGCCTGTGTTGGCTGGACAGTCTGGGAGCATTTCTGACGTATTGGAAGAATGATGTCAGTGGAAGATGAGCAAGGGAACCAACATGTGTTCATAGCGCACAGCAGAGCACAGGCTGGGAGCAGGAGTCTTGGGAGAGGCCCTGTTCCAATGCTCTTTGGGGAAAGGCCCATTCCTTGTGTGTGTTTTTTTTTACCACCATCGCTTTGCTGCAAGTGTCTCTTGCCACATGTAGTCTATTGGCAGAGCAAGCCTGTTGGCGAGCAGGGCAGTGCAAACCTACAAGGTGAAGAGAGGGTTGTTTTGCAGGATAAACGCTGGGCTACGCAGGAACAGCTAAGGTGGTGGTGGGCTCAGTATGGATAAATACTTCCTTTGTGTGTGGTATTGTAACCTGCAGCAGGAGCTGGTGGGGGCTCCAAACCCTGAATCAGCAGGCTTGTGCCTGAAGCTTTTAATGGTGATGACTGGCGGTAGCAGGGTGGGTGTCAAAGCTAGGAGCTCTCACGTCCTGAACTGTTCATCTCTTTTTCTGAAGAGAAACACCTCTAGTTAGACCCATGACCGTGTTCCCTTCTGCAGGGAGTTTGAAGAGACTATGGATGCTCTTCAGGCAGATATCGACCAGCTGGAGTCAGAAAAGGTGGAGCTGAAGCAGCGCTTGAACAACCAGTCGAAGCGAACCATTGAGGGACTGCGTGGTGCCCCTGCCTCTGGAGTTGCCTCCATTGTGTCTGGCATTGCAGGAGGTGCGTAGCCAGTGCCCCCAAAGCACTCAATGCCCCTGCAACTGCTAGGGTATTTGCAGGCTGGAGAGGGAGCCTGGCACCTCCTCTCCACACTCCCTCTCCCTGACGCAGATGCCAAGAACTGTTTGGGGAATGCCAGTGTAGTGTCTATATGGCACGACCCCAGGAGGCAGCGTGGGAGCTCAGAGACTACCTGCTGGAGTGAGCAGCACTGGGAAGTGCTGCTCTACACTCTGTTCTTCTGCCTGCCTGACCTTCCTGCAGAGAGGCAGAACATCTGCAAGGGGGCAGGAGGCTTCTGGGCTTGTAAGGATGAGTGGGAAGCGCAGGGAGCTTGCAGCTCCCTGAGCAGTGTCCAGCAGCTCTGTGCCTGTGTAGGCGGAACGGAGGGCACCTTTGTGGAGCCAGCCCGGGGGGTACACTGCAGCTTGTGCCTCGCTGATGGAGCACGCCTGCTCTGGCCCGCTGGGGCTGGCAAGTGCCAGTGCCGCCAGGCCCTTCCTCCCACCAGGGTGCTCCAGTGGGGAGACGGCAGTCCGTGCCTGCCTGCTGGTGTATCTTTGCTGTTGTGCCCAGCACCTTCCTCCTCTCCCTTGTCGCTGCAGGACACGGATGTGCCAATTTCTCCATACCTCATGGGGCTTTTTTGAAGCCTAGCAGAAAGGGATGGGTGACGGTGAGTGAAGGGTGCTTGCTGAGGAAAGAGGTCCTCGTGCTGGCTAGTGTGGGGTGTTCAGGTCTTCCCCTCGCTGTCTGGAGGAAACCTCCTATGAGAAATCCCTGGTCGGGGGAACCGTGGTGAGGCAGAGCATTGGTGGGGGTAAGGGAAACGTGCTGGCCTCTTTGTCAGGAGCGCTGGCTGTAGGACAAAATGCCACTTTGTGACTGCAGAGCCCAGGTGTCCTTTAGGACTGTGACTGAGGGCTGCGGAGCAACCTGCTGCTCTGGCTGCAGTGTTTGGTCCAGATTCCTCATCCTTTTGGCTCAGTCTAGAGCGGGCAACTCCTTTGCACAAAGAAGGCGGCAGTTCATGTCTTGGATCTGCTCTGGGTGTACCGTGAACGCCATCTTCCCGGCGAGGCAAATGTCTTTGGGTATGAGTCTGCCCCTGAAAGGCCCTGTGAGGATCTGGTCTGGTTCCTGGAGGTAGCAGTTCCTGAACCGCAGTGGAGCTGCAGCCTCTACCTGAGCCATCAGGACCGTGAACTTGTGCTCTCTGGGTGCCCTGAGATAGGGCCAGCGTGTCTTGGTCCTGGGCAGCGAATGCAGCAGTTGTGCTTTGAGCCTGTGCCAGTGCCAGGCTGCTCATGAGTGCTCCGTGTTCAGAGCAGGGAAGCTGGGGGATGCGGCTGTGTCAGAGCTCCGAATCGCAAGGAAGTGGAATAAAGCCTGAGGGGGGGCCCCAACTTGCAGATGTGCAGCCTGGATGCAGTGGGGCTCTGGGAGCAATTTCTCTCCCCCTGAGTTTGGAGGCTCAGGCTGAGCATCTTGGAGTCAGAAGGAAGTGCAGATGCTCAGCACGTCCTGAGGTCCAGACCGAGAAGCAGGCGCTCTGGAGGAGCAGCCTGTGGGTGTGCGCGTATCCTCCTTCGGCTGCTTATGGCTGCACACAGTCGAGGTGAGCGGGTGTGCCGGCTCCCCGGCCAAAGCCCACAGCCCACAGCCGGGTGCGAGGAGCCCCGCTTCTGTGGCCGAGGTTGCCTCGGGTGGTTGCTCCCGTCTGAGTGAAAAGGTGGAGAAGAGGGGTCGGCACAGGAGCAGCTCCAGGTGACCAGAGCTCCTCTGGCCATAGCTCCTCTCCAACTTGATCCTCAGCTTTAATTCTGCTTCTTCTTGTCTTTCCTCTGCCTCCTCTCCTTGTACTGCAGAGGAACAGCAGAGAGGTACAGTACTGCACCCTGGCATGCAAATGCTCCCCACCTCCTCCGGCCGCCAGAAGTGCATGCAAGGAGGGACTAGTGTCCCATAAGCATCCAAGCATGGCCCTGGGACGAGGCTGGGTTTGGGAGTTAGGGGCTGGAGTGAAAGGGTGGCAGGTTCCTGCCCAAGAGCAGCTCTTCTCGCCTCGCATACCGAGTGGCCTGTGGCGCAGGGCAAGCTGCAGCTAATGCAGTTCTCGACAGCCCTCGGAGTCCGGGAAGAGAGTAAAGAGCATGAAACTGCTGGGGATGCAGACTGATGCCACCGCAGCGATAGGGGAATGGTTCCCTGGAGGCGCCCAGAGCCCAAGCAGAAATCCTGTGTCTTCAGGAAATAGCAAAGAGAAATCCCCTGTGCCAGGGCTGTTGTCGGGGGCAGCATCTTAACACCCATGCCTCCTGACAGGTGACATTTTGACTTTTTTCTCTGAGCCAGATGTGAGGCGCTGCATGTCCGTGATGGCTGAGTGTGTGCCTAGCAGACCTGGGCAGACCTCACTGCTGCTGCTGCTCCCTGCGGTGTTGCACACGTTGCACCTCTTGTGCCTTTGAGCCCTGTCTGCATGTCTCGTGCCTGCTGTAGCGATCCTGTCCCAGGCTCCTGTGGGCCAGGGCCTCACAGTCTTTCATGTTGCTCCTGTTCTTGCTTGTTTGCAGGTGTCGGTGCCAGCCAGGTGATGGGAGGCGGCTCAGGGCCGGTCCAGGTGAAGGACTCGCCTCTTCTTCTCCAGCAAATCGATGCTATGCGGCTGTCCATCAAGCACCTCAAAAATGAGAACAATCGGCTCAAGGTGAATTGTAGGGAATTCCCTCGCCCTGTGTGGGTCTTGTGGGTGTCTGCAGCAATGGGCTGAGCACAGCGGGTTCCCGTGGGCTGGAGCGCTGGAGCTTGGATGTGTCGTACCTTCAGAGTACGATCGGGAGAGGGAGGGCAACCCTCGGACAGCTGAGCGCACTGGCCTGGTCTGAAGGTGAAAGAGGAGCCCAGGATGACTGAAGGGAGCGTGATGCCGTTGTGCAGTGCTGGGGGATTGCAGTGGGGCCGTGCAGGGTGCCTTAGGGTGCCTTAGGGTCCCTGTCCTCTCAGCACTGCCTGCAGCGATGTGCTCCCGCCAGCACGGGGAAGCAGCTTAGCACCCTGCACCTTTGTGCTGTGGCTGTGGCCAGCCCTGCTTGAAAACAGAGTGAACCAGCGTGGACAGAGGTGTTGGACACAGCTTTACTGAGAGGGGCTCTGTGAAAACCCCAGCAAGGACACAATTACACCGTTCCTGTTCCTGCTGCTGGTGGCTCAGGCTCCTCCCTGCAGGCATTTGGGTCTAGGAGCAGCTCAGCCCTTGGGAAGGGCCGTCCTGCACCACTAGGACACTGTTCTCAGGGGCATTTGCATTCACGTGACTGCAGGCTCTGGGCTGTGGGTTTATGTGGAGTTGGATGCTGTGTTACCTTGCTTTCACTGATGCTGTTGTAGAAAGTAGCATCCCTGGAGGACAGGGAAGGGCCACAGGGGTCTGCAGGTCGGGTGGGATGAGCTGGAGGGGAGGTTTTGACCGCCGCAGGGAAGAAGTGGCCAAGAATGTAGCTCAGCTGTGTTGCAGCTGGCTCTCCCTTGAGTGGTGGATTTTGGCTCCTTTCGTTTCTCTTTTTTTCCTAACGTGTGAGAGGATGTGCTGGCTGGAGAAGGGGCCAGGTCGCTGGCTTGGTCTGAGTCCAGGGTCAGGGCCAGGTGACTGAGAGCAGGAGCACCTGGCAGAGGTGGTGGTACTGACGGCACGTTACTGCCAAGCCTGGACTCCCTCTCTAGACTGGTGACTTGAGACATGAACTGATGCAGACTAAGATGTCTGCTGATTAAGGAATGCCCTGTCAGGAAATTGGCAAAGTGGCAAAATAATCTAATTAACTAATATTCCACTAATATTAATTCACAGCTACACAGTCATGCAGACTATTATGCACAACTGCAAAGCTGTTAATGATAGCTCTTAAATCTAATGAGTCACATGCATGGCCGCTATTGAATTACAGTTGTATAAGCATTGAGGTGCAAGTCTGTTTCCCCCGCACCAAGTCTTACGGACACAGACCTGATGGAGAGTCCAGCAGGTTGTCCAGGGGGTTCCTTCCAGTGTCCGGGTGCGTTTGGGTCCAGTGTGTTTGGGATGTCACCTCTGACTGTAGGCACCCATGCTCCCACTGTCGGAAGATTCACCCTCTATTGTTCTTAGACTAATTTTATGATTTTTATGCCTTATTTTCCATTTTTTTGTTTGTTTGAGTTGGAGCCCTCTTTTCCTCTGCCGTTGCACCACCTCTTCTGCACTCAAACTCCTCCCAAATAAGCAGCCTGCCCCTAAATACTTCTTTCCCCATTGTTCCCAGGGAGCCCAGATGAAGATGGAGCTAGAAGGACTGACACCTTTGCATGTCTCCAAGCTCTCCCTCCCCAAGGATAGACAGGGAGAAGATGTGGCCTCAGGCACCCTTTACCGCAAGACCAGCCAGCTCCTGGAGACGCTCTACCAGATGAGTGCCAATGCCAAGGTTGTGGATATCACACGGAAAAAGTCAGGTAGGTCCTACACAAAAGACTGCCTGGTTGAGGCATCTGGGGAGGAGATTGGTCATGAGCAGCTTGCGAGTTGGAGGGAGCTTGTCCAAGGCGCGTGAGCAGCTTCTGCATCTTCCCTCTGGCCTGGGGACCCTGTCCCTGCAGCCGCTGCATCTGTAAAGCTCCCTGTACTTGTATCACAGCAAGCGCTCCTTCAGTGGGTAGGCAGTATCTGAGCCATCGGTGCTCAGGACTGTACAGCTTCTCCTCTTGCCAGCGCGAGACCTCCCTGCGAGGGATCTGGGCTGGTATCAGTAATCCCTGGCTGCTCGAGCTGGCCAGGTTTTCTCCTGCGTGGCGGGGAATGGCCTCGCCCTCGTGATAGGTGCAAGGGTCACGTCCCATCCCACCTGCTCGCAGGCATTTGTGTGTTTGGGGACAGCACGGTGCTGGCTGGGCAGGGAGGAGCTGAAGCCGTTCCCTGGTGTCAGTGTGTCTCAGCCTCTTCTCTAGGGATTTGCTAGTTGATCCTGGAGCCTCTTGTCCCACTAAAACCTCCTTAGTAACAAACAACCCGAGTCAGCTGAGCCAGCGCTTCATGTGTGCTGGATCGCGCGCTGCAGCACAGTGGCTAGCTGGATCTTGAACGCCGAGGACAACACCTTCTCCTTCGTGCAGCTCTCTCCTGTGCTGTGTCATTTGGACAAGCTGGGCACAGCAGTGGCCGTGCCCCTGCTCGTGCTGCGGTGGGGTGTTTGATCAGTACGTGCCACATCCCTCCCGGAGCTCCCTGTACATCGGGGCTGGGTGAAACGGGCCCTGGTGCTCAGGGCTGGAGGTGTCCGGCGATGAAGAGCGCTGGACAAAGGCCGGTGGTGCTGTGACAACCCTGTGGCTCTCCTG